CAAATAAAAAGGCGCACAGGAAACAAAAACCTGTTTTATCCTGCCCTTTCCCCTCAAATCACAGAGATATCTAATCACATTGGATTAGAATTATCACAAGACCTTAGCATTTAGCAAAATCTAGCAGGTAATCTACGGGGCAGTTTTTACCTTACAAATTTCTGGCATGATATATTCTTATAGAATAAAATTACAGTCTCCATGATTATTACAAAACACATGTGGTCCCTACGTAAAATTAATAGCTCTTTACAAACCCACATAAACTCCTTTTAGATGTTTTTTACATGTTTTTTTTACATGTGAGGACATTAACATGTTCAATTGAACTTGCAGTTGAAAATGTTCTTTTGTTCTTGTCTTAATTTCCAAAACTATTGGTTTTCACGTGTTATGATTAGATGCTGGTTGGGTTAAACATGGCACTTATTTTATTATTTTTCTTTTTCTTTTACTCTCTGTTATAACAGGATGTAAGGAGGTGATGTTCATTCATAGCCACTACGGCCACCTCAGTGAGGTGGTGTCTGCAGCAGAGCAACCTGCAGAAAGTCAGAGCGACAAAGCTGGAAGGTTAGCCACCGTTGCCCTGATTTTGCTGATATTATAAAATTACTACAATATAAAACACTTTCAAACATTTTATTTAACTTCTGCTATTTTTAAAATGGTATCAAAAAGCAAAGTTATATTTAATAAAACCTTTAGAGGTATGGAATGTACTCAGGTTTACAAAAAGGGAGAGCAGGCATCCCCAACCTCGGTCCTCGAGGCCCGCTGTCCTGCAGGTTTTAGAGGTTTCCCTGCTTAAGCACAGCTGATTATAATGATTGCAGTAGACCAAAAGCCTGTTAATCAGTTTTCAATTAAAATCAGCTGTGCTGGAGCAAGGAAACCTCTAAAACCTACAGGACAGCGGGCTTCTAGGATCAAGGTTGGGGATGCCTGAGGTAGAGGATCACATTTAAACGTTTATGTGTGCAGCGGTCCATAATTCAGATAAATGATGGTACTAGATTAAGATAAAAATGTATATATTTCAGTAGGACATATGTCATTTACAACCATCCTTGCCTTTCCAGTGTTCTTTCAGGCAAACTAAGCTCTGCTGTCATATCAGCAAGCGTTCGAGATGTCTCTAAGGCAAAAACCATCCCTGTTGCTGTCCAGTATACCCTTTCATCTTCACAAGTGGTACAGGAAATTTTTCAGGCATCCTTACACACACATATTTACTTAGACCATTATTACTTTTCAACAATTAGTGCTTTTCAGTGTCGTTGATGCATCTACTTCCATCCGAAAAGGAAATGTTCTTTCTTAAAGTGAAACTTGTAAACTCTGTGTATGTAAGAGTGTGTAAGAAGTGACAGTTCATTTATGAGGATAAGAGTCCAAATAAATGACCACTGCAACAAATCAAAGGCAGTGATTTTCTTATAAAATAAAGCTTAGCCAGGTTTGAGATGATACATATAAAATGTAAGCTGCATTATAGTTACAAATCTCTTTAAGGCTGACCTATGTAAATTACGATATTGTGACACTATGTTGTACAGTGAGATATTTCCACATGTTTTTCTTTCTAGGTGGATTTTTCCCAGAACAATTCTGCTGTTTGTGCATTTTGGAATTTCAGCTTGATGTAAGTTTTACAAACAGGAAACGTACTCAAACAGTTGGAGCATTCTTCTCTAATATTAGATTGCAAAAAAATGTCGAGATGGCTTTTAGTCAAACAATATTAACACCTTAGCATCATAAAGCTTTAAAACAGACTGATGTGTAAAACTCATCCATCCATCCATCCATCCATCCATCCATCCATCCATCCATCCATCCATCCATCCATCCATCCATCCATCCATCCATCCATGCCTTTGTCAATCATCCATCCATCCATCCATCCATCCATCCATCCATCCATCCATCCATCCATCCATCCATCCAT